CTGGAAATTTGGTCACTGGACATTTGGTCACTGGTCATTTGGGTCATAAGGGGGGGTGGGGGGGTAATTCAAAGGTCTAAGTCAACGTCTAAGGAAGCCTATGCCTAGTGCCCTACTGTCTACACCTATTGAATAAGAACCCGTGCCTTTGGATATAACTGGCAGGTATGAAAGCCTGATCCTATGGAGAGGATTCTTTGAAAAAGGGGGGTCGGGCAGTTCAGTGCCAGATTTTCAGCGTGGGATTTTTAGTGTGGGACAGTCAGGGACAATTGATCACTGGACAATTGATCATTGGGACAATTGATCGCTGGACATTTGGTCCAGGGACAATTGAATACTGGACATTTGGTCACTGGACATCTGATCACTGGACATTTGGTCACTGGACATCTGATCACTGGAAATTTGGTCACTGGACATTTGGTCACTGGTCATTTGGGTCATAAGGGGGGGTGGGGGGGTAATTCAAAGGTCTAAGTCAACGTCTAAGGAAGCCTATGCCTAGTGCCCTACTGTCTACACCTATTGAATAAGAACCCGTGCCTTTGGATATAACTGGCAGGTATGAAAGCCTGATCCTATGGAGAGGATTCTTTGAAAAAGGGGGGTCGGGCAGTTCAGTGCCAGATTTTCAGCGTGGGATTTTTAGTGTGGGACAGTCAGGGACAATTGATCACTGGACAATTGATCATTGGGACAATTGATCGCTGGACATTTGGTCCAGGGACAATTGAATACTGGACATTTGGTCACTGGACATCTGATCACTGGACATTTGGTCACTGGACATCTGATCACTGGAAATTTGGTCACTGGACATTTGGTCACTGGTCATTTGGGTCATAAGGGGGGGTGGGGGGGTAATTCAAAGGTCTAAGTCAACGTCTAAGGAAGCCTATGCCTAGTGCCCTACTGTCTACACCTATTGAATAAGAACCCGTGCCTTTGGATATAACTGGCAGGTATGAAAGCCTGATCCTATGGAGAGGATTCTTTGAAAAAGGGGGGTCGGGCAGTTCAGTGCCAGATTTTCAGCGTGGGATTTTTAGTGTGGGACAGTCAGGGACAATTGATCACTGGACAATTGATCATTGGGACAATTGATCGCTGGACATTTGGTCCAGGGACAATTGAATACTGGACATTTGGTCACTGGACATCTGATCACTGGACATTTGGTCACTGGACATCTGATCACTGGAAATTTGGTCACTGGACATTTGGTCACTGGTCATTTGGGTCATAAGGGGGGGTGGGGGGGTAATTCAAAGGTCTAAGTCAACGTCTAAGGAAGCCTATGCCTAGTGCCCTACTGTCTACACCTATTGAATAAGAACCCGTGCCTTTGGATATAACTGGCAGGTATGAAAGCCTGATCCTATGGAGAGGATTCTTTGAAAAAGGGGGGTCGGGCAGTTCAGTGCCAGATTTTCAGCGTGGGATTTTTAGTGTGGGACAGTCAGGGACAATTGATCACTGGACAATTGATCATTGGGACAATTGATCGCTGGACATTTGGTCCAGGGACAATTGAATACTGGACATTTGGTCACTGGACATCTGATCACTGGACATTTGGTCACTGGACATCTGATCACTGGAAATTTGGTCACTGGACATTTGGTCACTGGTCATTTGGGTCATAAGGGGGGGTGGGGGGGTAATTCAAAGGTCTAAGTCAACGTCTAAGGAAGCCTATGCCTAGTGCCCTACTGTCTACACCTATTGAATAAGAACCCGTGCCTTTGGATATAACTGGCAGGTATGAAAGCCTGATCCTATGGAGAGGATTCTTTGAAAAAGGGGGGTCGGGCAGTTCAGTGCCAGATTTTCAGCGTGGGATTTTTAGTGTGGGACAGTCAGGGACAATTGATCACTGGACAATTGATCATTGGGACAATTGATCGCTGGACATTTGGTCCAGGGACAATTGAATACTGGACATTTGGTCACTGGACATCTGATCACTGGACATTTGGTCACTGGACATCTGATCACTGGAAATTTGGTCACTGGACATTTGGTCACTGGTCATTTGGGTCATAAGGGGGGGTGGGGGGGTAATTCAAAGGTCTAAGTCAACGTCTAAGGAAGCCTATGCCTAGTGCCCTACTGTCTACACCTATTGAATAAGAACCCGTGCCTTTGGATATAACTGGCAGGTATGAAAGCCTGATCCTATGGAGAGGATTCTTTGAAAAAGGGGGGTCGGGCAGTTCAGTGCCAGATTTTCAGCGTGGGATTTTTAGTGTGGGACAGTCAGGGACAATTGATCACTGGACAATTGATCATTGGGACAATTGATCGCTGGACATTTGGTCCAGGGACAATTGAATACTGGACATTTGGTCACTGGACATCTGATCACTGGACATTTGGTCACTGGACATCTGATCACTGGAAATTTGGTCACTGGACATTTGGTCACTGGTCATTTGGGTCATAAGGGGGGGTGGGGGGGTAATTCAAAGGTCTAAGTCAACGTCTAAGGAAGCCTATGCCTAGTGCCCTACTGTCTACACCTATTGAATAAGAACCCGTGCCTTTGGATATAACTGGCAGGTATGAAAGCCTGATCCTATGGAGAGGATTCTTTGAAAAAGGGGGGTCGGGCAGTTCAGTGCCAGATTTTCAGCGTGGGATTTTTAGTGTGGGACAGTCAGGGACAATTGATCACTGGACAATTGATCATTGGGACAATTGATCGCTGGACATTTGGTCCAGGGACAATTGAATACTGGACATTTGGTCACTGGACATCTGATCACTGGACATTTGGTCACTGGACATCTGATCACTGGAAATTTGGTCACTGGACATTTGGTCACTGGTCATTTGGGTCATAAGGGGGGGTGGGGGGGTAATTCAAAGGTCTAAGTCAACGTCTAAGGAAGCCTATGCCTAGTGCCCTACTGTCTACACCTATTGAATAAGAACCCGTGCCTTTGGATATAACTGGCAGGTATGAAAGCCTGATCCTATGGAGAGGATTCTTTGAAAAAGGGGGGTCGGGCAGTTCAGTGCCAGATTTTCAGCGTGGGATTTTTAGTGTGGGACAGTCAGGGACAATTGATCACTGGACAATTGATCATTGGGACAATTGATCGCTGGACATTTGGTCCAGGGACAATTGAATACTGGACATTTGGTCACTGGACATCTGATCACTGGACATTTGGTCACTGGACATCTGATCACTGGAAATTTGGTCACTGGACATTTGGTCACTGGTCATTTGGGTCATAAGGGGGGGTGGGGGGGTAATTCAAAGGTCTAAGTCAACGTCTAAGGAAGCCTATGCCTAGTGCCCTACTGTCTACACCTATTGAATAAGAACCCGTGCCTTTGGATATAACTGGCAGGTATGAAAGCCTGATCCTATGGAGAGGATTCTTTGAAAAAGGGGGGTCGGGCAGTTCAGTGCCAGATTTTCAGCGTGGGATTTTTAGTGTGGGACAGTCAGGGACAATTGATCACTGGACAATTGATCATTGGGACAATTGATCGCTGGACATTTGGTCCAGGGACAATTGAATACTGGACATTTGGTCACTGGACATCTGATCACTGGACATTTGGTCACTGGACATCTGATCACTGGAAATTTGGTCACTGGACATTTGGTCACTGGTCATTTGGGTCATAAGGGGGGGTGGGGGGGTAATTCAAAGGTCTAAGTCAACGTCTAAGGAAGCCTATGCCTAGTGCCCTACTGTCTACACCTATTGAATAAGAACCCGTGCCTTTGGATATAACTGGCAGGTATGAAAGCCTGATCCTATGGAGAGGATTCTTTGAAAAAGGGGGGTCGGGCAGTTCAGTGCCAGATTTTCAGCGTGGGATTTTTAGTGTGGGACAGTCAGGGACAATTGATCACTGGACAATTGATCATTGGGACAATTGATCGCTGGACATTTGGTCCAGGGACAATTGAATACTGGACATTTGGTCACTGGACATCTGATCACTGGACATTTGGTCACTGGACATCTGATCACTGGAAATTTGGTCACTGGACATTTGGTCACTGGTCATTTGGGTCATAAGGGGGGGTGGGGGGGTAATTCAAAGGTCTAAGTCAACGTCTAAGGAAGCCTATGCCTAGTGCCCTACTGTCTACACCTATTGAATAAGAACCCGTGCCTTTGGATATAACTGGCAGGTATGAAAGCCTGAACCTATCTGAGTTTTGGCAGTTCAGTTTGGAATGCTATGATAATAGATACATGAATTCAAGGTACTGATTAAGGGGCCTTTAGAGAAAAACAACGAAGTTCCGGAAGTTCTAAACACAAGGTCATTTTAATCTGATTAGTTTTGAGGATTAACGATGTCTTAAACTCTTTGAGAAGTGAGGTACGCCCGGGGATGAGGGAGGGGAACCCCTAACAAGTTTTAACCAAACTTGTTAGGGGAACCCCTAACAAGTTTTAACCACAACATCCAATTTTATATTCCATATTTCAAAAATTAACGACTTAATATTTAATGACGAGCTATTGATACGGTTTATCTGGCAATACATTTCGTTTTACTACTATAGGTTGTGGTCTTCTTATATTGTTTTTACTAGTATTAGCGGCCAACGATAGATTTGTCAATTCAAGTTTATCTGGATACATGCTTGCTTTATGATTATTAGTCTGAAACAGTTGAGGTGGTGGTCCAAACAGGAAAGAATCGTCTGATTTGAATGCTCTTAAAATGAACAAATTATAGCTGCATTTATTTGCTTTCTTACTTGATTTTATCCAATTCATTAGTTTCAATGATTTCAATTTCTTTTTGTTGTTGTACAGGGTGTAAAGGAAATTGAATCAAGCCTTTTTGCATTGTATATTTTACAACTGACATAGCCTTGACATTATATTGAGACTCTCGAAATTCATTTGTGTCTTCATATTCATCATAATTCTGTTGATTTAGTTCAGGCCTGTCAGCTTAAATGTTGACTATTAATTACTTGTAACGATGTATTTATTAACTCTGAATCCTATTTACATTGCTTTTGCGTCAAATATATTTCTAATAATAAAATCCTCACTTAAATTGCTTTCACTTGTGCTCTTGCCAGCTTGTCTAGTCCATTGGCGCAGCTGCTGCGTTACTCGTGCATATCTCTCATCATCATGCTCTTTTTTCCAAGATGAAGAAAAATTGGAAATGTTTTTATTAGATTTGGCTGAGGCTCCTCGAGAAAGTGGATCGATATACTAAATGGTATTTTTCAGATCTCTTGATAAAGGGATATAGTGTAGTGTACCGGTGGTAAAAGTTCGGGACGTGACATATGTCATTCGATTCGTCTCGACGAGCTGAGTCGAACGGTACCACTCTCAACTTTAGGAAATAATTCTGGGCCGAGTTATAGGTCCCTGAAAATCGAAAAACCAAAGGGGGGAGTAAGCTCGATTTTGGGGTGAAAAATTCGAATATGCAAATAATAGCTCATTCGAAAGAGCTCGCCGAGCTGAGTCGAATGACACCAAAATCAGCTTGATTGTAAAAGTTTGGACAAAGTTACAATAGAAAAACAAACAACATAAACCTATGGGGCGTCGGCGAGGCGCTTGTGCAAAACTCCGCGCTTCGCGCGGAGTTTTGCGGCACGCGCCTCGCGGGGAGTCTACGGGCGCTGGGTCTGGGCTCGTAACATAACCCTATTCCTATCTCCCTTGCTCTGGATGTACTTGGGGCCCGGTAGCAGCAAAAACCTCTACAGAGGCGATAGGTAAGGAGCTAAAACAAACGGTCATAACTTTGTCAAATCAAGTCAGATTTTGTTGATTTTGGTGTCATTCGACTCAGCTCGGCGAGCTCTTTCGAATGAGCTATTATTTGCATATTCGAATTTTTCACCCCAAAATCGAGCTTACTCCCCCCTTTGGTTTTTCGATTTTCAGGGACCTATAACTCGGTCCAGAATCATTTCCTAAAGTAGGGAGTGGTACCGTTCGACTCAGCTCGTCGAGACGAATCGAATGACATATGTCACATCCCGAACTTTTACCACCGGTACACTACACTACAGCCTGATAAAGTTTAATGGTATTGTGAATAGTATTTTTACCGCAATATTTTAATTATATATTTTATTCATTAATATTTTATTCATTTATTTTATTGCATTTATATGACCTTAATTATATTTTTATTCAAGACTTACTGAATAAAGATGTTGTCTGCCTTCGTCCTGATGCTTAGGTTGCTTATTCTCTTCCTCTTTGTGCCGCCAATTGTTAGTGCCAAAAACATCTTTTATTGGCTAAATTTGTACTAATATTGAGAATATAAATTTCTTCTTACTTATTCGTTTTAGGTCATATCTTAAATCTTAAACTATTTGGTTGAAAGTTAGAATAAACAACTTATAATAGTACATATAGAAATATACCCGATCATTTCGAAATGCCTCGATGATATTCCAAATTGCTGCTCCTGGGACAATTAGTAGAGGTCTGTGTTTAAAATAGCTATAGTTATTTCTACAAAGAACGAAAAACATATTATAGTATATTTCAATAAAATATCGTACGCTTAATTCTAATAATCATGTATTGCACATACCCAATCATCGTAATCCAAGCGATCATTTCAAAAACAAATGGCAATTCTACGTTATTAAAGCGTACCCTCTCGTAACTCAAGATGGATGCAAATAACAAAAGCTAAATTAAGATAATTATATTTTGAACTCTCCAAATTCATTATCTTTAGTCAAAGCGGTGGTCACTTAACCTCTTACAGCAAGTTAACGTCTTCTAATAATTAACAACTTACTATGAGGACAATGGGTGCAAATAAACTCCACATCCATTTGATATATCCACCGCATGGACCAAAGAAGTAACAAAATCTATGCCTTAATAAAAATATAGATAAGTATATGTAAACGAGATTTTTATTTATGGGTCTACCAAAGAAACTGTTCTCGGCTTATGCCCGTAATAAGAACAGGACGTGGCGGTTTTTCTGCACGCAACATTTCACCAATGTCTTCGAGGAAATTGTCTACACCATAAACATGGCAAACAACAAGTACTTGTACAAGCGATAAAGAAAATGAATTCCAGTTTGAATTAAGATTTTCGATTGCATGAAAAATATATATCCCGCCGCGAGTACAAAAGGGGATGCCACAAAGACAACAGAAAATACATAGTGAAATTAACTGAATTGTGAATAATGGATCAAATACATAAATTGAAGCAAACTAGGCGATTTTCAAGACGTTTCCTGTTTAATTGTACAATGGTAAATAAAGAAAGATCCATTTAATTAGACTTAGGGCAAATAATTTATGAAATTCCTTAAATGTCCCATTAAATTGACCCCACCTGTCTCATTTTTCGGGGTTAAAGCAGAAATTTAAGACCTTTTGCTGCCGAATTTGTTCATAATACTGTTTGCAATCATTTCAAGCCTGGAAGAACGGATAGAAACTCGTATATTCTAGAATTTTAATTAAAAAACTTGCCAAGCAAATTCTGCATCCAATGCCTGCAAAATGAGGAATTAAATTATAATTACATTTAATTTCAAAAATTCGTACAGAAAGAGTCAAAACTGTGTAAAAAAGAACAGCCCATATGAAGCCCCACTCCAAATAATAAGTCACACCGGGATACACTGTGAATGCAATGTACGTTGAAGGAGAAGTAAGTTGGTCTGAAATTAGATTTAAATCGCATTATTGTTGTCGCTCTATCGATTTCTTTACATTTTCGATTTGACTAAGCAAAATTTTTACGACCTTATTACAGTCTCACCTTGAATGTCGCTAATACGGATGCCCTGAGCTGAAGTCATAAATCCGAAGAATGAGAAGATTACCACTCCACATAGAATACTTGTAAAGGAGTCTCTGAAGAATAGAATTAAATTTGATATATATTTATGTATCTCGGCCCAAATAATCAATAATAATATGATGACAAACATGATAACAAGAAGAACCGCATCTCGATATATATTGTTTCGGTATCTGCTAAAGGATGCCTAAAACTTGTTTGCGAATAACACATTCAAAGAATATACCATTGATATCAGAGGACCGGCATCTATGCCCAATGAGTAAAAGACGCATTCTGCCGCTTTTCTCCAAATCTTTTTAAAAAATTTATCTATTAGTATTATTTATATACATACCCTCAAGCACCAAAGCCTTCTTATATCCGGTATCTATGAATTAAGTAAAACCCACGACAATTATAATACCGTAAACAAATATACAAGTCCTGAATATGCCCCCTTGAGTGAAATGCCTCTCAGAAGAAGTATTATTAACTAAAAATTTAAAAAACAAATTTTGTCATATGGTTATTTCATTTGTTACCAAAAGATAGGGCACAGTTGCTGTAATTGACACCGCCCATCCGATCGAGCCTAAGCCTTTAAATACGCCAAAAAACACTGAAATTTTAAGTTAAAGTATCAAAATCGTCAAATAACTATACAATTTTAAAGATCTAACTAAACCTAGAATCCAAGAGAAGACGAGCGAAATGACCAAGTGATCTTGAATTTGGCCTAGCGCAGGCTCACGAATATTCTGGCTATATATGATCTATTTATATGTATTTATAACTCACCAAGGTCCGATTCAATACCTGTTTCATAAGTAAAAATTTTCTCCGTGGGCATTATACAATATTCAACCTGGAAACTTAATAAGAAATAATAAATATTTCAATATAAAATTTTATATCGACTTTCTCTAATAGTTTTAAATTTCTTAAATTCGTATAAGCAAATAATTTGATCTTATTCAAAAAAATCTTTCAAAGAAATTTTACAAACAGAATTTTTAATACATACTGAAAGAATGCTTCAGGTGCAGTTATTTGGTTTGTTTCGTTAAAAAAGCATCGATGCCGTGATAACTCGTAACAGTTAAGTTTATTTATCCAATCGGTTTGACACTTTTCCCAGACGGATTCATGACCACCTGCGGCCACCAGTCCTTGCAATGCAAACCATAGATAAACTAAGCCCCAGACAACGTAGAAAATATCTCAATATTATATGTACAATCCCATTATGTTATTTCTATCTTACAGTAGATGGAAACGGGAACAGAAAGAAGCACAAGTCTAAATTATATTTAGAATATTTTTTTAAATTAAGACAAACGCCCATCCAAGTCCAGAAGCAATCGGCATCATTTTATGGAAAGCGGCGTTTGCTGAAAGGCCTAAATTTTACATTTTTGATAACTAAAGGAAATTTTAGTTACCTGAAAATTGTCCAATGGCTAAATGCATATAAACAAGTGGCAATCCGAAGATGACCATGAATATTACATATGGTATAAAGAACGCACCACCAAACTCAAAAATCTATGATTATTAAGAATGTATTTTCTCAGAAATTAAAAATAAAAATATTACCATTGCAGGAAATCTTAATGTATTTCCACCACCTACAATAAAGCCAAGGCATGAAAGAAAGAATTCGATTTGTGTGCCCCAAAGATCGCGTACTCCATCACGTTCGCTAGTGATTCCTTCCCTATTTGTTCGACTTCTGCCTGTTAGACGGTTCCATAAACTTGTTCGCAAGCGCCCACTCCTGTTTATATTTCTCTCACTGTTGTCTTCCTGAGTTTGAACGTCTCCATTGAAATGAGGCTGTAGGATTTCGTTACTTGCTAACAGAGGATTTTTTATAATTGGGGTTGGCGGTGATACTAGGATTGGGATCGGACTAAGATGATCCATTTCTTCGATGAGAACAAGACATCTATAAATAAGTTTGCGAAATTAAAGCTTTCTTACTTCACACAAAGAAGAGCAGATGCTTCATAATTATCATGTTCAATTAGCTTTTCTAACTCCATTAATAGTAATTCTAACTCCTTAACAAAATTTTAGTCTTGAATTTTCCGTTAATTTCCAGTATACTAGTCCGGAACGTAAATAATCAGTATACAGAACTGCATTTTATTTATTAACTCACCTGTATTTTTTCCGGAGAAATTTGCATATTATTTTTAAATCTCTCCTTATGACTATAGATTTTATCAATTTGACTACGCAATGCCACCTTGCTGTTGGTATTTGACGGTGTATCAAAGTATGAAGAATCCGTGGTAGAGATTCGAGACATTCAATCTTATTTTAAAGCAAAACAATATGTATTTTCCTGGATTTCGGAGATAATTATAATTTATAATGATTGATTAACCTGAAAACTGAAATTTTCAGGTTTTATTTACATAATGTATTAAAGATATTATATTCGAGAAAATGTTTCAACGTTTTGTATTAGTAGAGTTCATAAATGTGTTAAATTTAGTTTTATGTATAGTATATATGTATAATACTTATAATATCGATTTATCAACACCCTGCTAAGTCGATTATCTCGATTTTTAATGCTTATTTTTGTTTCTGCGGCTCTTAACATGGTGTTAATTAAATATCAATCAAATGACTAATATCGGTTCAAATAACGTGCGCCCTGCCTCTGACTGAATCATCATTAGGCCAGAGGCAGCAGTCAAAACCTGTCTTTCCTCATGCTGAAGAGTAGAGTCAATTGAAACTATAGGTCTGCGCAACCATAACCGATATGTCCATTCAACCGCAAAGAATGTAGCAGCGTTTGCAGGAAAAGCTTTTTAATTAAGTTAAATTATAACAATGTTGTTTAAACTTTTCCTAAGTTATTCCTGAAAAGTACCTCTGACTAAAGTAGAACCTAGGCCAACATAGAAGGCACGTAGACCACCCTCTAGATATATTCGACGAATCACTTCCGAATCTATATATTTTTCAATGTTTTCTTGAAATAGTCACTTACAATTTGAGTATCTCTCGTCAGCTTGGAAACGAGTCTTGATAATATCAGAAGGATAGTTAGCCAACCAAGAGAGCTAACTTGGAAAATCTTATATTTATTGGTTAAAATTATATATAGAACCATTCCTGCACCACCACCGGCTAGTAACAATTGCCAAGAATTAAGCCCCTCAATGTTGTTAGTGCTACTAATTTGACGACCAATGTATTCGAATGAGGCAAAATATACACCCATTGCTGGGCAATCACGTACTTGCGTCGAAAGAAAACCTCTACATTAAATTAGGTCAAAACAATAAATTTAAAAAATAACCGAGTGAGATAACGCACGCCCTTCTCACGAAGTATCTTCCTGAAATATGAAGTTCAGTTAGAATTTTTCGAACAATCATTTAACTAACTTGGCTATATCAGAAGGGGAATTTGATATTTCCACTTCAGTTTGTATTTGTAGGCGTATTTTAAGCAGTTCCTAATTTAAAATTGTTAAACTTCAATTTTAAATGTTTTTCTCTGACCATGGGAGATACGACAAACGCCTGACAAGCACCAGCGGCAGCACCAGCGAAAAAATTTGTTGTAATGGAGTGCTTATCAGTAAATTGTTTTGAAACTTGGTCGTGTGCAGCAAAACATAAAGCATTCACCATTGCAATGCTGAGAAATTGAACTAGATTCGTTAAGTTTAAATATAAAATAACCTCGCAAGAGGGCTTGTCATTCCTATTATGATATTGGAAAATATTGATAATGAGTTAATTAAAAACCTTTATACAATGCAATTGGACCCTCCTGCGATATAATACAGCGAAGACAATGGAGTATACCGTTGTATTGAGGAAAAGTGACATTCTGTGTTTGAAGGCGGACCTTTATTGTATCCAGGGGGTATCCTGCAATAACGCCGGCGAGACCTATAAAATATGTGTATGCTTTGAAGTTTTTTCAGATAAAAATCGTATAAACTTAATGAAAATATGTACCTCCAATTGATCCTGCAATGAGAGCATTTAAGATTTCTGCAGACATTAAGAGATAATCGTGATTTACAGTTATTGATAACAGAATCTGCCTCCTTTAGCATTCGGCAATGAACAAGGTTAGCAACGAATGAAATGTCGATTTTATAAATAATTTGATTTATGATATTGAAAATTAGAGTAAAATATTAGAAATTATATTCATAAGAAACTTGTGCTCGTACCATTAGTTTAAAAAGTAGCGCCTGATCGATCACCATGACGTTCTCTGTCGCTTGAATATTTAATTGTCAATGTTATGTTCCTCAGTTTTTATAAATTCAGTTCTCCTTTTAATTTTGAACGTAATTTTCATGGCCGCAAAATTAATGATTTATGCTATGTTAATGATGTGATCATATATAGAAAATGCCTAGAATACTATGAAACTTTTACATACATATTGTTAGTACATAAAATGCTATTTTTAGTTGACTTCAAACTAATCTTAGAAACGTTATTTTACCTTTGTTTTGTGTAGCGTAAATAAAAATGCGCAATTTATTGAGTTCTGATTGAGTAATTGAATATAAACTGGAAATAGAGTTGAAAAAAACTAGAAATAAAAAATTACTTTACACATTACCTTCATATAGAAAGCATTTGTGAAACAATATTTTAGTAGTTTATAATATTTAGTAAGGTTAATTCCTAGCCTTTTAAAATGAACCCGGCCTTTTGGGTAATTACAATACTTCTTTTTTTGTTGCCCGCTTTTGTTCGACTTATAATCATCCGCTTTCGTAGAAAACGTGAATTTGTGCGCCTGATCGACAAATTGCCTGGACCAAGGTTTTTTGATTTTAACACTTCTTATATACGTAATCTTTGGAGATCATTGCCTGTGGTCGGATGTGCATTGGAGTTCTCGCCAGATAATGAAAGTAATTTTTGACTTATGACTAATTTATCAATACTAGAAGCAACTTACCAAATGGAATATTATTTCCGCAAATACACAGAAGACAAGGATTCTCCAGGTCTGTTTATAACTTAAATTCCAAAATGAAACAAGTATTATAATGAAGATTTTAAGGGATAATGCGGATCTGGCTAGGACCAAAACCGATTGTGATAGTCTACAAACCTGAAACTGCTAAGATAATTCTTGAAAGTGTGTCTATTGCTTATATTAAAAACAATTTTTATTATTAAAAGGCAACGAGCTTATCTCTAAACCTTTCGAATATTCTGTAAGTAAATCCATGCAGATTTTTTAACTAGTATATGTTTTATAGCTGCTTCAAGACTGGCTGGGCACTGGTTTGTTTTTACAATTTACCTTAATTTTAAAAAATACTTCTACATAAATTAATATACTATTAGATTATTGGGACTTTATGACCATGTTTTAAACTGTTACTCCGAATAAAATTCTCAAACTATGTAGTATAATTTAAGGTTTATTGACAAGCACAGGTGAAAAATGGCATAAAAGAAGGAAGATTCTCACACCAGCATTCCATTTTAAAATTTTGCAAAACTTTATCCAAGTGTTCAACCGGCAGTCAAATGTATTCAGAAACACTATTTAGTCATTAAATGATAATATTCAGACTCTTGTTGAGATTTTGGACGAATTCGTGAGCCGGGGATACCCTTTCGACTTTTATAAGTGCATAAAACTGTATGCTTTAGATATAATATGTGGTAAAATTATGAAGAGCAAGTATGTGATTTGTAGCCTAAATTTTAGAAGCTGCTATGGGTATACAAATGAACTCACAAAAGGGTAAAAATGCTAAATATGTGGAAGCTGTCAAAAAAATGTGCGAGATTGGCTTTTATAGGTGAATGTTTATTTTGGCACAGCTACGTATTAGGGCTATTACGTTAAAGTTTAACATTATTATGTCGAATTAAAAAGGATGCGATCTCCTTGGCTTTGGCCTGAAATTTTTTGGCGAATAAGCACAAGTGGAAAAGAATTTAAAAACAACCTCAAAATTATTACTGAATTTACGCAGGGGGTTAATTTTTAAAATTTCCTATATCTAATCAACTCAAAGGTGATTTCAAATCGTAAAATGGAACGAAAGATAGAAAGATTAAGTGATACCAAAAAAATGGAAACTGAGAAAAGGACTAATTGCTTTTTGGATATCTTGCTGGACTTGCAAGAGCAAAATGATTTTACTGACGAGGATATACGAGAGGAAGTAGAAACTTTTATGTTTGAAGGTGAACATTTTTATTAACATTAATTTGACTTTTTCATTATACAGGTCATGATACAGTTTCTAGCAGGTTAAGATTTGAGATTATTATGTATATAAATCCCAAATTTTACAATTAAGTTTGGGATTTATGGTATTCTGGTTGGGTCATAGAGAGAAACTTCAGGAAAAGTTACGAACAGAAATGCGGGAAATATTCAGTATATACATATTAACTATTTATCTCAATATAAAATTCTTAAGATAGTGATATTGGGCGGGATGTGACTCTAGACGATATGACAAAAATGCGTTATGCGGTATCATTTAAAAAATAAATGAAAAAAATAATCAAAAGAAAATTTTTGCCATCAAAACTCTCTTTCAGGAGTCATGTATTCGTGAAACTATGCGTCTTCTTCCCACTGTTCCAGTACGTTCCTACGATTTCATTAGAATTTGTCATTTAGATAATTGGTCGTGTGATTACAGAACCCACAGAAATAGGCAAGTAAATTATAAAGACAAACATAACTATGAGTTTATATAGGTGGATTCATAATTCCGAAGGGGGTGACAGTTATGGTGCCTCCCTTTGCAATTCATCGTGATCCAAGAGTATGTGACTATTTTCTTTAACAATGCTGAATTATTCTTGGTAACTATTAAGTACTTCCATAACCCCGATGAATTTGATCCTGATCACTTTACAACTGAACGAGTTATTGTAAGATTTGAAAGATAATAATTCAAAATGGATGAATAAGTTAAGATACGCAACAGGGAGCCTTATGCTTATTTGCCTTTTTCTGCCGGACCGCGCAACTGCATAGGCAAGTTGAAATTTTTGCCTACAAAATTCAAAAATGCTTAAAAATATCACACATAATATTTTTACACGTATTATATTATCTTTATTAAAGGTCAAAAGTTTGCTAGTGCTGAACAGAAAATTACGGCCGCAAAAATATTCCGTCGCTATAGAGTTATTTCGACAACTCACGAGCTGGAAAACAGAGGATTGCCAGAATTAGTTCTGAAGCCGAGGTATCATCTAAAATCAAAATCTTATTCAACTACCTATAATAACTTTACTTTTAAGCAACGGTTTTTGGATAAGGATGGAAAGAATTATTTGATCGATAAAAATACAACGAGAATTTTTAAATACTTGCAAGTAAATTAAAGATAAAGAGGATCATCATAAGCATAAATCTCTAGGCGCATCATTCCTAACTGTCCAAAATTACTGCAATGTTCTTTGAAAATTGGATGTCTCAATAGCAAATCAACCTAGTATTTATTTTGTTAGTCATTTGTTCAACTATTAAATAAAGCTACCCGCAAACGATCGTTTTGATCAGCACGCACTCTAAGTCTAGCAAACCCAAGATATTTGTTTCTGTGATGGAATTCATTCTTTACGAATACATCAAATTTAAAATTTATTGTAGGACATAAACTAAAAGAAAATGTACATGAAAAAATCCTTCATAGTAAAACCTATGGAATATGAAGGATTCCCCATCAAATTTAAATAATGTTCCAGATAAGGATCGAAACGCAACACCTGTTCTAATTTGTTCGCCAGTGCTAGATGATAAGCGACAAAATAACTCCGTAGCTGATAATTAGATTTTTAACAAAAATTACATATACAACCTGTTATTTTATTATGCGAATGGAAGAGAATTTCTTGGATCTGCAGCCGGACTAAACAACGAAATCGAATGCCAAATTTATTTAATGCTAGAATAACAGAAGAACACTTTGGGCAATAATTGTTGTACATAACTAACCAGATACCGGTGTATCTTCTTCCAATAACCTTGGATTCATTTGTTGAGTTGAGTAGATGCGAAGCAAAAATTCACCTTCCTCTTTAGGAGCAAAACTTAATTGCGAATTGACAAAAACACGAATATATAATTAACCTAGACGGTATCAGGATATCTAAAAATGAATATTTTAAGAGAAGAACCTCCGCAAAACATACATCGACCAGGAGTAAGCTTATCAAGATGTAAATGAACTGAGCGCCCAGAACTGTACTCCGAAGTAGCTGTACTCGGAAGGAGCTATGAAAGTGAAAGTAGAAAGAATTATTTAAAAATTTACTCTATGAAGACGGTGCCGTCTGTTAAATTCAACACGCATGAGTTGCATACCAACGGCAAGATAAGGTAGTCTTCTCTTACCATAAAACTTATCGGGTTGATTGAGCGCAAGAATCACTTCAGCAGTTCCAGGCCCAGAAAACTCTAGCAGGAATTGTGGGTTAAAGCAGAATGTAGCCGTAAAGTTTGGACATCTGAATTCAGAATTAATCTATTTAAATTCATTTCTTAATTTGTAAATTATTCGAATGAAAAAACTTACCCTCCAGACCGATCTTGTGGTGCACCACTCTTAACTCCATTAGTCGTCCAACGACCGTAAAAATCCTAAAATAGTAATTTAATATTTATCAATGTCAACCCATTCGTGATATCGTCGATTCAAAGGAGTTCCTATAGTTGCGTTAGATCGTCTGCTGGCCTTTTTCGACCGGACTCCCAATTCCAGCGGTATCAGCATTTGGCACACACTTATATCGGTGAAGTATTCTAAGAATTTTTCCCAGGGCATCTAAATTTTATAAACATTAACGTAACACTCAATATATAATTCATTTGATCTTGTATATTTATAGTATATAAATGTAAATAACCCAAAACTCGCCGTCATCATTTGCCGTAATACCTAAGCGGGACTTTTGCACATTAGTCACCTATGTAAAAAAAAATTCACAAGAAAGATCAAACTAAACTCACTTGCTCCCACTCAGCTGAACCGTCACTCCAGGGTCCATTCCATTCCTTTTCGCCCCAAGGATTTTGAAGTCGAACCCTAAAATCGAATAGCATTTAAGTATCCACTAATTAATTTTTAATTTCATAAGCATAAACGAACATTGCCTGTCGCTTTCCAGTTGTCTCTAGTCCTCGGTCTGGTTTACTCTTATTAATTAGCTGCAGAGCATCAAGTTCAATAAACTGAATTGAGGTTAACGCATAAGCATGTCCCATGACTTAATGACTAATGTAAGCTTTTCATTACATAAAAAATACCCAATCCTTAAAAATATCTAAATGAAAAACTTTAAAAAAATGCTTACCGCACTCAAGGCTTTTCTCAACTTCATCATTTTTAGCCTATTAAATTAGTATTGAATTTTTTAAAGCAAAGCAAATATTAATTTCAGAAAAGACCGAAATAGCTGCAACAATAAGTGCTTCGCGATTGAACGCATGTTTAAGTGTGTAGAAAAGTCGTTTTGATGCAGAGATTCCAGTTTTGTAGACAGAAAGTGAAGTTAAATTTCCGTTAGCCAAATTATTTAGCCTTTTAGATAAATGTAAGTCATCGGTACTATTCATTCCATTCAGTATTTTTTTATGCTGGCTGATAAATCTATGGACAATAAGTGTTTCAGCGACTCCACCAGAAACATCCTAGGTCAAAAAAGATCCAAATTGAAGGATTTATTATATCTTGGTAGGATCAGTAATCATCGATTTTCCGATTTACCGATATTTTTTTTTCTATCCAAACTTCAAAATATAACTTGATTTCATTATTTCGTTCTTAGATTTTTTAATAAAAACACCTGAAGCGCATCCGCTAACTGTCCTCCTACTAAATTCTCGTAGCAACCATAAAACCTTAACAATGTAGATAAAATAGGAAGTACTATTTTTACTTGGCAAAAGCCTTCTCCAGTAGTGCACTCCAAAATTCATTATCAGTTTTTGATCGCGCAAATAACAATTTGCCACTCCTACATGGCAGTAAATCATCTATAATAACGTCGATCCACCGACCAAACCGCCAAAAACAAAATTGAAAAATTCCTGCATAATCATTGCTCGTCGAATCCCATTCTTGGCCATCCGGAATCACCTTAAAGTTTTCAATTTTAAAACAACTACACAAGATGGATGTTTGTTTATAACAACCTTACATAGAAGTGCATCACTGTTTGTTAATGCTGAACAAGCTGAGACGAACCTGAATTGATATTTTGCAAATCTTAGACAGTAGAACATTCCTTTGATATTTTAGAAAATATGAAATAAAATCGTACCAGCAATTTCCAAGAATGCCTTGAGTAACGTCAAATGGGCTAGCTCCTTCTACGAATAACCTTGGATCATCAACAATTTCCTTCAAAACATTATTTTATTCAAACAAAAATGTAAAATATTCACGCCCGGTCTCTTCCACTCGATCTCCAAGTCAGCCCCGCTCCATCTACTTTCATCCAAAAACAAGGACTCGTTTGAGGGTGGAAATTCTGATAGAATTAAATGTTATCGTAAAATTGAAAGAATTACCAGAATCGATAAATAATTTGCCCTGTTTCAGACACTCTCGCTTCAACCTTCGATAAGTTTTTGATGTTTGTGAAGGAAAAAATGCGCACTTAGATGTCATAGACGAGGATCTCGACGTTGAAGGATGAAATGGATCAATGGTAGCAGCGTTTGAATCTAATACAAATTTCGTGTTTTGAAATATGTCTATAATCAACAAATCAAGAACTTTAGTGTACGTTACCGAACAAGTTCATTATTTGTGATTATCCTTGCTTACCGTTTAACTCCTGCTTGGAAGAGAAAAATGATTTAATCAGCGGAAGTATTTTCATCACAATTATCTTTTTAAGTTCACAGTTACAGTTTATTTTAAATATTTACTAAAAATAAAACATTTTAATTTAAATATTTTCAAAACAGCATATGTACAGACGTTAGTCAAGTGTATTGATGAGTAAAGTTAAATTACTACATAAAAATACGTGGCGAGATGTCGTCATACCATTAACAACCTTTTCTCAATATAAATCAAATATCAAATCATTCTCTCGCCCGTTTTATTTTGTTCTCGACTCTCCTTAAACTAACTTAATACGAATATAACTAAAAGTGGAACAACGCAAGAAGTTAAATACCTCATGTGTGCTTGGGTCGGAATGTCGTTTCTTGCAATTGTAACTCATTTAATATTCGGGATTCAAAAGTTTACCCGCTATTCCCCCTTATTTTTTACTCGTTAATAGACACCATAAACGGTTAAATGCATAACTAAGTTATAAAATTCTAGTTTATAACAATTTTATTTTATAGAACAAATTAATCCAACAATCACTAGATCTCAAGTTTTCCGACGGAAACTTTTTGTAGCAAATTTCTTAATACCATTATAACTACGATTTTTACCCACTGTTTTCCGTCTGTGCTTCCGTCGTCGCATTTTATCTGAATTCTTCAACATTTTTATCCAAATTGCGGGAGAGTTTCCAGATGATTTAACAAATGAGAGCAATTCCTCGATTCCTATAAAAAATTTTTATAAAATCATAATTTGTGTGGCAAATAAGGATAACAAAATTTGATGACAAAATTTATTTTTAAATTAATAAAAAAAACTTTTTACCACGTATTTCGATAAGTTGATCCAACAGTAGAGAATTCGCTTTTCGTGTTCGAACGGTAGAAGTGTCGATAGGTTGAGAGAATACTGCCGTTAATATTATATTCTAAATTTTAGTATTTGCATGATTAAAAATTATAATTTATATGAAACCTTGAATTGATTAAACATAAAGGGTTGCATTTTTGAACAAGCAGTGCGCATTAAGCTGTAAAGAATAAAAATAAAACTATTGACTGTGACCAAGCACGTATCCAGAGGTAATTTTAAATGATATAATTATTAACAGACCGGATGGCCAAAAGTCGAACACTCGCTTCCTTTTCTGAATCTAATACATCATTTACACAACCAATAAGCTGTGTAACCAATGTCGTAGAAGACAAATTTCTCAAATGTTTGCGGGTTAAAATATTCAATGCAATAAGTGCGCAACACAATTTATTGATATTATCTTTCGAACACTTTTTAACTGTAACAAATAATCTACAAAAGTATGTGTCCAATGGATTCGGTTTGTAAGAATTCCTGAAATATTTATAATTAGCAAATCTAATATCAATTCAAATACTAACTCTTCTGTGGACCAAAGACGCAGTAGTTTTTCGAACATTTCTGTCAAACAATTCGCCGATTGCTGTCTTGTAGATTTACTATTAACATTATTTAAATGATCCATAATTTCATTGTAAACCAAATCGCAAAATTCAACTAGTTTGTCAAATACATTAATTGAGCTCAAAACCTTAAAGTTATGGATTTATATTACAGCAACCACGATTTAAATTTGCTCAATTCTATCCTAGATTAGATAAAACTTTAAAACCAACGTTTCTGTAAATTGCAACGCGCCAAGGTAAAGAACAGCACTAAAGAAAATGATTAAAATTAAATTATAAGCAAACTGATGTAGCAGAATAAATATAATTGCAACAATAAGTACCTGAATTTTTTCATAGCCTGAACATATTATTTCCTTCAAAAATGGTTTATTATTCGCAAAAAACGATTTCAAGTCATCCTCGTTTATTCTATGATAAATCTGTGCCAAAAGTCTAATACAAAAAAGTATTTTTAAAAAAAATTCAAATAAGAACCTGTAAGCTTTCTTTTGAGGCCTTTCAGACGAATCAAACCAAGGTTTAATAGAATTAAAAATGGTTTGTAAATCATCAACATCGGCAGCAATGCACATTGCAGTAAGTAAATCAACAAGTAATATCTAAAATTTTGAAAACAGTGCATATTTAAAATATACTTTTTGTTCGGAAATTATTTTTTGATCATTTAATTTCGTCGTTGCCAATGCAATGTATTGTTTAAGTAATGATTTAGGAATTGCGTGCATGTAGAGACGTATGGTTGCCAAAGTTGATTGATGAACAGCATTAGGATCAACCTTAGTTATAGGCTTGTTTTCTACAAACAAATCTTCAACACCATTAGTATATATACTGAACAAGATAGGAAGAAAATTCTTGGCATACTTTTCCATAATTTTTAAATCGTTCTCTTTGTTGATCTGAAGAGCAGCACGAATCGAGGCGAGGGAAATACCACAATATTCAGGTTCGTTTAACGCAGCACCTTATTAAGTAATTCAATTTGTTATTTGAATAGAATATAATTACCTAGAACAGGCACAAACATAGGCAAAGTAGTTCTATAGTCACGAGAACATGAAGATAAAATGTTTGAAGGCAACATCTTCCAAAGCAACTGGTCGTGTTTTGAAAATCGTGTTTGATTCAAAGATTCCAATGGCATTTTCTTAAATATTCAAGTAAAAAATCCACAATGATAGCAACTGAGAAGCGGACAAGCAATTTCAAAATCTAATACTTACAGAATGTTCAGTTGATCGTAGAGTGCTTTCTTCACTCCTTTGTCCAACATTTTCTTTAAGAGACATTTGATGCTGAAAATTAATATTTATAACAACAAAACCAGCAACATACAATTGGCAAATGTTCATCAAAAGCCTTATCATCGCCATCTTCAATAGTTTTAAATCCATCGTTAATACTACCCAAAGAGGAAATATCAATCAGCCTTTTAGACCTATTAAAATAAAAAAAAATTACTCATTAAACCTAGTCAACTTGGCAACACTCCTATGCTTTGTCACTTTTGAGTTGCTCGAAGAACTAAATTTATAATAGCTTTATTGTAATTTAGAATGAAAAAAAACCTTCCATTAGATGGCTTGAAAGCCTTCGAACCTCTAACTCGCAAACGAAATTTTGCCATAACTACGAAATCCCCAAAAACAATTAAATGATTGAAATTAAATATATAAAAGTAGTTGAATAACTAATAATAACAATAATAAATAAAAATATTCTTGTACCATATATTCGATAATAAATAAAACAAAAATTATGATTGAGATCACTAAATAATATATATGTATAGACATAAGTTAATGGAATTCATCTTTTAAAACCCATTGTGAATTCGGTAAAAGTTTGGAAATATTCATAAGAATCGATCGAAAAACAAAAGAATCGGAAGGATGAATATGCTTCTAAATTTCAAAAATTAAAAAGATTAAAAATAAAAATCACCTTAAACCGTGAGAGAATTTCATTTGTACTTGCGCGACCATTATTTACTGCTAAAAAGTTACGGAGCTCTGCAGCTAACTTCTCATTCTTATCATTAAACGTTGATTGAGTCTGCGTTTTTGGAAATGATGGATATTCCTAAATATCTAATTTAGCTTCAAATATTGAAACAAAAAACATCTGATTCGTCATCCTCGTCGTTACAATTCTCATTTATATCTAATTGTTTTTCTTTCCTGAGTCGGATAGAACGCAGCAAATCAGCGCCACTAACTTCCTTACACTCGTCTAGAATTGAAGTTCCTCCAAAAGGATTATCTTCCATAAAATAAAAATGATAAAAGAATAAATAAATATTAACCATGTCCATCATCCTCAGCTTGTTGATTATGATGCTCAGTAACGCCATTTGTGACGTTATTAATATCAGAATATTCAGGAGCTCGCTTTTGCCCAAAAAGTGATTTTTTCGATCTCGGGGCAATCCCAAATTCTGATATATTTTCAAGAAACGCTGAATGCATTCTAAATATTAATTAAAATTTAAAATGTTAAGGAATTAAAATTACGTTCTACTACGTTTCAACACATTTGCTGCCCTTTTTGCAACAGCATTTGCTTCATCCTCAATTAGTTGTATATCAACTGTTGAACTCGTTTGAATAATTTCATCATGCATCAATGTAGAATTAACTCCGCATTTGCTTTTCCTAAGTAATTTTCCCAGAACATAATCATCCTTTTTATTTTTAAACTTTTAAATATTAAAAATAAGTTAACCTGCTCTTTGCTGCAAAAATTTTCACTCTCTTCTGCTTTCAATTTTGAAACAACTTGCTGTTTTTTCAACATTGGAACTATGATTTGACCATCGAAAAGATCACTTGATTTCTTTTTTTGGATTTCACGCTTTCCATTACCAAAATTTCTAGAAATAACATGAACATTGTAAAATAAAGGAACATTACCTTGCATATTTTTTTGCCAATAAACGAATTTTTTCTCTGGTTTCTTCATTCAATTCACCATCCTTTGAACTAGAAGCCTCAATCACCTTTCCATCGCTTGTTGAATTTATTGCGTTGTTTTTATAACTTCAATGAAAATAATTGAGTAAAATAATAACTTAAAAACCTTTTCGAATCCTTTGCACTTTGTTTAGAAGTTGCCCTAGTTACAGAAGACGAAGCTGAATTGAAAACAGCCTCAGTTTCAGTGCCGTATTTCCTGTCGCTTTTTGAAGAACCCAATGTAAACTACAATAGAATAAAAGAAAATCTTCATTATTTTAAAATATATATAACGAACAAGTTCATGCAAATCGTTTGTTTTGAAAAATCTTTGTTGTTTAGGATTAACAAGGACACGATTCGCCAGAAAATGTTTGAATATTTGCCTTTGGTAGATTTTCTCTTCGATTGTACCGCTCGTTAAGAGTCTATAAACTGTAACTGCTCTTTGTTGTCCTATTCGCCATGCCCTCTCTCGGGCCTGAAAATAGAATTTAGAAACTAAACAAATTTAAAAAAAACCTGTGCGTCCGTAGAAGGATTCCAATCTGGGTCATAAATTAAAACTCGATTGGCACCTGTTAAATTTATGCCTAAGCCACCAACTTTTGTAGTTAGAAGAAAAGTAAAAATATCTTTATCCTGTAAATAAAATAGATGAGATTAGGAAGCGATACAATTAGGCACCGTGTTGAATTCGTTTACAAGATCCTGTCGTTTTCCTATAATTTTTGTTTAATAGTAATTTAATTTTAATCGTATATTCCTCACCTATTGGAGTAGTGCCATCCATCCTAAGGTATTTATAACTTAAAAAGGTAATCTTAAAGATATAAAAAATTTTATAAAGTTATACTTCTCTCGTGACATAAATCCTTCAAGTATTGTAAGCATTTGGCGGCTTTGGGAAAAAAGAAGAACCTTTTGTTGCTGTTGAGACCAAAGTCGAAGGAGAGTTTTGACAACTATCATTTTTCCACTCCTTTGATATGAACCATATTCATGTTCAGGATTCTTGTCGTCTTCTAAATCACCATATTTGTTTGGACCTCCAGTTACTAAATCAGGATGATTACAAAGCTTTCGTAGATGCATTAACGCAGCAAACGCCATGTTTTGCCCGTTTATCAGATCTTGACAAGGTTTGGATGTTATATATTCCTGATATAAATTCCGTTGCTCAGAAGTTATATCGCAAAACAAAATCTGTTAAAATATAGATTGTAAAACAAACATGGTTTTAAAAATATTTAATTTGGAAATAATTCAAGCGAAAAATAGTCTATTATCTTAAAAACAAATTAGACAAAGATATGTACCTGTTCAGTTTTTTCTGGTAGCTGAAGGATCATTTGAACATCCTTTTTCATCCGTCTTAAAAGATAGGGACTGATAGCATCTCTAAATGAAAAAATAATTTTAAAAACGAAATAGAAATTTTACCTAAGAATACAGGCACATTTATAAGCAGTTTTGACTTGTATTGACGTTGCGTTTGCATAACCACCCTGGGTTATTGGTATTGAAAATTTTTCAATAAATTCTTTCAAGGAACCAAGAAGTCCAGGATAAATAAAATCAAACAATGACCTAAAAAGATTTTCTCGGCGTAAAATAAATCTAGCAAAGTAAAAGAAATCTAGAACAAACCACAACTCCCTGAGATTGTTTTGAAGTGGGGAACCGCTCAGAATTAATCGATGAGGTGTGCGTAATTCCTTCAGTGTTAATGTGATCTTTAAAAATTTAACAAATTTAATTAATTTTATGTTAGAATACCTTCGCTTCTGGATTGCGTATTTTATGTCCTTCATCCAAAATAACATAGTTCCATTTAGCAGCTAAAATCTTTTTATAATCTAACATATATGTTGAATATGAAGTAACGAGGACAGAACCATCGCTAGAGAGGAACAAATAAAATTAAAAGAAAATAAACAAACCTTCGAAATTCACTCATTTTTCTAATTAGACTATTCTTTGTGCCAGAATGTGCACCACTCGAATGTAAGACTGCAACTCGACACAAAGGAAACCATCTATTGAATTCATTTACCCATTGATGAAGTACAGTTGCAGGGCAAATAACAAGTGAAGGTCCCAGACCTTTCCAACTGATTTTAATAAGAAAAATATTTTAACCAAAATGTATAAATAAATACCCAAAAATAGATGAAGGCCTTTGACTTTCAGCCAATGATCGCAAGAAAACACAGATTTGCATAGTCTTACCCAGACCCATTTCATCAGCCAAAATTCTAAAAATGGAATTTATTTGTTAAACATTATTTTTTGTTTACCCTCCAACGCACTGATTATGTAACTCGTATAGCCACCTTATACCTGTTTTTTGGTATCTAAAACCAACATTTAATTATTCGTATTTTGTCTTACTTGTAACACAAATCCCAAACAGGCTTTGAAATATGAAAGCCGTCTTTTAACTCATGATAATCAAGCAAATCTTCAGAATTGGTTTCCGCTTGGTACTGCCTGAATGTTTATTTTTTAGTTAAATTTTGCAGTTTTATTACCTAATCCTTGCATCAAAATAATTGTTATCTCCATCATCCTTTCGCATTCTTATTGTAAGTTTATTCCTCTTTTTTATATTGTTCTTATTATGTTTGCTAAGCTTTTGAGTAGATTCGTCGAGTTCTTCGCTTATTTCTGAATTGTCTGACACATCAGAACTTTCGTCATAGCTTTCATCTTCAACATCCTGCTCATCAAAAATCCGTTCTTCACGAGGATTATCGGCCCTCTTAAAGTAACATGTTGAACAATATTAAAAATAATAAATACAAACATATCTCTGCTGTGGTAAGTTCGGTTGGTTTTGATTGGAAGATTTGTTTTGTCCGAAAGTTAATCCACCCCTTTCTATCGTATTGCATTTTGATTTAGAACCAGCCAATTCTTTCTGCTTGATCAATTCAAAAGGTGTTAGGTCTCCTTTCTTTATTGAAGAATTAGTTTCTTGTACTAAAACCTCAAGATTCCCATTCTTTAATTTCTTACTACGATCGTCTCTAAATTGCTTTTCTGCCTGGAATTTAATACAATTTACAAATTTAATACTCTTAAAAAAATACCATATTCTCAATTAATCTGCCTTCAAACTGTGCAGCATCATATGCGTCGACTTTTTCCAAATCAAGCTGTTTAACATCGTCATTTGGAGCAATATCGGTAAATTTAGAGCGATCAAAAGTTTCTAAAAATATTGTAAAAACTGTTTTAAAAATAATACCTTCGACTGATTCATCGGAGATCTCCCCATCTTCACATTCCTGATCTGAATAATGTCTTTGGCCATCCACTGATCCATCGTGCATCCTTGGTATTTTAACTAAAAAAAATGAATTAGAGCAAAAAACAAATCCAAAACCGTGAAATTCTTGCAAATTTTAATAAAAATATTACAAATCTATATGTTTAAAGATCAATCGTGAATTTCAAAAATAATTCAAATTTTATTTTTACACTTAAAAGTTAAATGATCACAAATAAAACCATAAAATTATTATAGAGGCTAAGAGTCATGGTGAGAATTAAATTTACCATGATGAAATGGAAGTACGAAAACAAAACGTTCGTGAAGATGACAATATAGAAATCTTCATTAAAAATATATAACTTTAAATAGAAACGTTAAAACAAAACACTAGGCAAACTACACAAAAATTTAAAGTGAAGGAGATATAAGATTTTGTAAAACGACTAGTTATTCAGGAGGTTAATATATTATTCGTCGTATTAAAACTTTATAACATTGTTGGTTGTATTCGAAGGAGGCATCAATGGTGGAGGTCTGCGTGGCGCAAACATGTCAGGAGGTAGCACTCTAATTTTTGTAAATTATAAGGAATTAGAATAACTTTAAAAAACGAACTTATTAATCAAAAAATCCTCAAACATGTGCTGTTCTTCTTTGGCAAGTTTGTGTCGCTCATCTGCTTCAGAAACATGCCTCTTAGCTTCACAAAAACTTAAATTGCCTGTTGTTAACAAATAGGTATATGTAAAAAGAATACCTCCTCGGCTCCGAAGCAAATAACCGTGGATCTAGACGACTAAGCCTAAATATTAACATTTCACTATTAAAAATCTTTGCCAAATAAACATACAAATGTGAACCGATTAGTGCTCGAAAACTTCCTCCTTGCGCCTGAGGCAATAGACGATCACGAAGCTGACGGTGAAACTCGTTCGCTTCCCAATGAAAATAACCACTCTCGGTGCTATTCAATTGAAGCTCAGCCATATAATCCTCATCGAAAATCTTACGGCAAGTGTCTTCTACAATAAAAAGAATATGAATATAAAGAGTTTTAATACCTTTGAAGCGTAAATAGCGTGCCCAACTTCCTCTAGAAATGTGAGCCTGTGTCGATGGTGCACTTTCTGCCATCCAATAACGTGTAAACAATTGCAAATTAGGTTTTAAATCATCAGCCGAGCCGGTAGCATTTTGTTTAGGATCTTTCGCCTCGTGTCGCAGTCTAGTATTTTGTTTCACATCAACTTGCCTATCTGACGAAGGAACCAACTGAACATCAGGCTTAATTGACTCCAAAACGCGCAGCGCTGCCACAGGGTGCAACAATGAAAACGAAGACATAAAGATAATCCGTAAAACAGGAATTAGTAAAACAACAAAAAATTTGAGTTTCATTCTTCAGTTGATTTGATGACAACATCACAGAATAACTTCCAAAATTTCCATTAATTATAACTAGTTAAAACTAAAGAAAATCATTAATGTAGACAAAAATGCAAAAAAATACCAAAAATGGATCAAGATTTTTTAATCAGCCACAACCGAAAATGAAGATTATTCAAAACTAAGAAAATCAATAAAAATGCATAAAATCGTAGGGACGATTCAGTACCGTCGCTTCAGTATCTGGGACATATATTGGGCCATAACTTGTTTGATTCTTAACCGATTTAAATAAGTATTATATCAATCAAAAGTTCTAAAAGTGGGGATTATTTTACCTAGCAAGATTGATTTGATCAGATCATCCAATGAAAAGTTACAGCCGAATAAGTGAGGTCAATCGTATTTGGCTTTAACTTCTGTAGAATGTTCAGATCAGTTCATTATTAAAAGATGCCGCATCTCGACTTTCGAATTACATAAGAATTACTAGAATAGGAGGGAGACCGAGAAAGTTATGACCCAAAATATGGCCTAGAATCGGCGATACTGAATCGTTCCTATTCGGAATAAAAAAGTAGGATCAAAACGCACAATTTCGAAACGTCCAATTATAAATGCCAATGTTCCTTTTAATTTTAAAACGCAATATTCAAAACAGCAAACGAAGTGCTCAAGTACAGAGCCCAACTCCGGATTAAAAATATTTAAAAAATAATTAACTAATTTTATTGATAGATCCAACAAATGAGAGTGACAGACAAATTTTGGAAATAACAAAACGGATCTAAAGTATATCCAATCAAAATTTGTATTTTTAATTATTCATAGGTCCACTTAGCCTGTGCCGAGTCCCAATCCACAATTTCCTGTGGATTAAACCAATGCGCAATCTCTTGTTTGGCCGATTCAACCTAAAAATAGGCTTTTTATTCCTTTGACTCAAGCTTTGATCACTTACACTGTCAGATCCGTGGCAGATGTTCCGCCCAGTTTGAATACAAAAATTCCCACGAATCGTACCAGGCATGCTAGACAATGGAAAGATTTATTAGTGAATGCATAATTAGTAGAGAAAAACCTTGATAACGGATCAGTAGCGCCAAGCATAACACGCCCCTGTTTTACAGCATCCAAACCTAAAAATACTGTTCATTACAATTAAATAAAATCCTTCAGACCTTCCCAAACCATCGCGACGATTGGTCCAGAGGCCATGTAATCAATCAGAGCCGGGAAGAACGGCTTCTTACTCAAATCTTGATAATGAACTTCAAGATGTTGACGAGTTGCTTTAACCATTTTCATTGCCACAAGCTTGTATCCACGTTGTTCAAATTGTTTGATAATTTTGCTTACAAGTCCTCTCTGAACACCATCAGGCTTTATGGCGATAAACGTACGTTCCTTGTTTGACATTAGTTTACGATAAATTCTGGTAATTCTATTTAGCTAAAAATAAATTTTAATTTTGTTTCAATGTCAAATTAAAAAATATTAAAATGAAAAAGTAACATAACAAGCAATTAAACAAAACGTAAATAGTCAAATATTTTATCAACCAAATAATTTATACAAGCAATAAACTAAATGCGTGCTATATATAAATAGCATGATGTCCTTCAATATGCATCAATAAGTATCCTTAATCTCAATGACAAAAATAATACTTTATCGACTCGTTAGAGACTGTTAATAACTAAAAACAAGTAGTTTGAGTCTCAAATATTTTAGTTACTTGAAAAGATTTGCTTATGCCCATCCCAACACCAACACGTGTAACTTATAAAGACTTACAATTAACATGGACATTTTTCAATAATTTAGAAAAGAAATTCGTGATAAATAAAACACTTTTAAATAATTTTTCGCTACTATGATAATCAGCAATATGATTCAATCCCTAAGACATATTCCCTTGTTCATCCTTAAATTTTGTTTACGGTTGAAGTTTCATAATCTTTTAAAAATTCAAGATTTGCCGATAATTCTGAGAATGATTTAGATGTTTCCATTTCCTGTATAAAAAATACAATCATACATATTTAACTTAAAAATTCAATCATACCACACAGTCTTCATCTTCTAGAATAACAACTTCATTTATTCTTTCACCTTCTGATGCTCCATCCATTGTTTCGTTTACATATTCATTATTATCTACGTCATTTATAAATAAAGGACCACCGTCATACTCATAATGCGCTCTCTTAGAATTGGCTAATTCGTCTAAAAATTTAAAAATTTTCTGAATATTAAACCCCCCTACCCAAGCCTCTTTGATTTACACCTTCTCGTGCTGTTTCCATCCATTTGTACCTGTCTGTTTCGTCCATCAGAAACCCACCAAGTAATAATAACGCTACTGAAATTAAAAAGTCCATTAAAAATTTTAAAGGAAATCCAGAGGATTAACCTTTAAATGTTTCAAATTGATCGTCAGCAACGGGACTTCTTGCTACGCCATTCACACGTTTCTTACTCCTTAAATAATTCACATTTGATTTCTAAATATATGTAAAACCTGTGATTAACGCCTTTAAGGATGGGCAGCAACATTTTTCGTTGAAAATATCCACGCGGCCAGAGAGAATCTGCTATCATTTGACCACATCGTCGACCATTCACCAAGTCTCTCGAGCAGTCAACGCGGTAGATTTTTTCTGTTACATCGATACCCCGGTACATCTCCAAATAAAATAATTGTAAACAGAAAATTAACTAAATGTCTAACCACATGCTTTCCCGCTTCAACAAGTTCTCGACATTTTGTTTGACAGGCTGAGAAAATTTCGCTAGCTCGCCAATGAAATATTGACTTTTTACATCCGTTTATCGTCAACTAAATTAATTAAGAGAAATTTAAAAAAAACTTAGTGTCCTTGATTACCATCATCCCAACTTCTTTCATAAATTTATAAGACAGCTCCCGGCGTCGTTGTCTGTATGCATGTCTCGATTTTCGAGCTGTTTTTATTGGATTGTTTAAAAACTTAATTGGATTAAAATTTGTCGGAGATTTGCCAGGATCCTGCGAAAATAAGTCATTAGACATCTTTAACCCATCTTTCAAAGAAGTATTTAATTGGGAAGGCATTTGCTCTCTAGCACAAGTTAAATCCGTTGAATGTTGTTTTGAATTGTTAGAAAGTCCAGTAATAATATCTTTTTCAGAATTGTTTACATGATGTTGTTGAGGACTTTTTATTGCGAATTTAATTTTATTTAAATCGTTTGTAAAAGATTACCTATCAGTTAGCGAATTCTGTGGCTATAAGAAAAATAAATTAATTTTATTAGTAAAAGAATTAAATTGCTAAAATGAAACAAACATGCAAATTTAGTTGAAATCGTCTATTCGAATTTTGTATTCTCGTTTGATTCGAACTTTGAGAAGTTGTTGGAGACGAAAAATTGCGATGCTGCTGCGAAAGTCTTTGTCTTAATAATGAACGGGAAATTGTTGATAATCTTGAAGATTCAGCAAGATGTTTGCCAAATGGTTCTAAATTAAACTGCGATTGTGCTGAAGTTCGACAATGATTTTGAATGGGTTGTTGTGCTTTTGTAATAGAACCAACTGAATTCTTCAAATCATCAACACTTTTGGTGAGTTTTTTAAGTGTCTCATTGATCGAATCGAATTTTGAATCAATATACTCAGAGAATCGGCCCTAAAATAAAATTTGGTAATGTTTTTTGAGGTTTAAAAAATTCAGACCGCAACTTTCTCGACGACAGAATTGATGATAGAGTCATCCAAATGTTTTGTTACATCCTCATCAGCATCGCCAGCTGGGGCCTATTTCAATTGTCCGCAGATTCTGCATTCTGTGCACAGAACACAGATTCTGTGGAAATTCTGTTTCAATTAAATTCTGTGTGCACAGAATCTGTGGTGCCCGCAGATTCTGCGGAAACATCTACTGATTCTGTGGAAACATTCCGCAGATTCTGTGGATGAAAATTTCTGTGGAAAATATAAAAATCTGTGGATTTTTTCCACTGATCCACAGAATTTCTATTTCAATTATTTTTCTGTGGTTCTGTGTATTTTTCCTTCTAAATTCAAATTTTTTATTTCCGCGTTTTTGAAAATAACAGTTTATATTAGCCTTTATTTATCTTTAATTTAATTTTTAAAATAAATTTTAGAAATGACTGATAAAAAAAATCAAGAAAAGAAGGAATTGCTGTTATTAATTAAAGAAAATTACTCCACAATATCTAGCAAATTTTCAACCAAGATTACTTATGAGGAAAAAAGGAATGCTTGGGAAAAAATTTTCAGAATTTGTGAATCAAAGGGTGCTGAGTGGACTAAAGGGCGCGAAGCCAAATGGCTGAGCGGCACAAAATGGCCGTCTCTTGTTAAGGAGTATAAAGTTTGCTGTTATCTTTAATAAATCTTTTAAATATATATTTTAGACAAAAATTGACAGAAACAAAGCAACTGGCAGCGGTGGTGAAACTCGCTTAAATGAATTAGATATGATAATGGGTGATATTCTTGGAGTCGATTCTCCTGTGGTTGCTGGATTAACAATACCTGATGCCAATTGCAGTAATACTGATGAATTTGAGTTTTATAATAAAAAAAAAGATGAAAATGAAGATTTAATTATTGATGATATTTCAACTTTGACTCCAAAATTATCCATCAAAAGAAAGGCAATGTTTGAAGGTAAACAAATTCTAAAATTATATATTCTCAACTTTTAAATTTAGATGAGACTGACACTTATAAAAAGAAAAAAGAAGAATATTTGGAAGTTTTGACTCGTGTTGCAAAATTGAAGGAGAGAAAACTTCAACTTGAAATTGCTCAATTGGAAGAAAAATCAAAACCTTCAAATATTTATGATGAGCCTACATATTTTAAACTTTAATTTATTTATCAAAATTTATTCGATTTTTCAAAATTTTGTTTGTTTTTTGATTTTTTGAAAAACTTAATTAAATATTGCGACAATTTGATTCAATTTTTCAAGTCCTTTTTCTCTTCCTTCTAAATCATCTTGAGTTTCTTCAATTGGTATTTGACGAAGGGGGTAACCTAAAAATAAAAAGGGATATTAATATCTCATTTAGAATTAAAATACCAGAATCCCCTAACAGAAATGCTCCATGAAAAGGCCTCCAACCACTTGATAATCTTTCGAAAAGGCGAGAGTTTTTAAAAACTCTGGAATCATGAGTAGACCCGGGCCACCGAACGGATGCATCATAAAATTTCAAAGTTGGGCCACAAACAAGCATTACGTTAATAGAATGTTCATTCTTACGATCCACAAACTGTTCCTCATATTTTGAAGGGGCTAATATTTTTATTAATGTTCCATCTATACAACCAAAAATTGATGGTATTTTTCCTTTTTCATAAAAACCAGTTGTTGTATTGGCTAAATTTTAAATAATTTGCAAACTATTAAATTTACTACCAAAATTGTCAGGATATCCAACATTTCTTTGAAACATGTATAAATTTATTGCTCTTGTAACTTGTCTTATGGATCTACATACTGATGATTTGGATGGTCCATGTGAATCACCAATAACAGCATATATACTTCCAGTTGCATAAAATCTAAGTGCAGTTAAAAGTTTATCTTTAGCTGACATTGCGTGATTTGTTGAATTAATTGGCTTTAATGAAGCTGAAATTTGACTTAAAAAATCTTCAAATTGTTCTCTATCAAGCCTGAATCTTTCTCTAAAATTTTCTTCTTCAAAATATTTTCTAGGCCTATAAATTTTGTTCTGCTTAATCGTTTGCTCGTCTTCTCCATCGTAAAATATTTCAAAATCGAAGAACATTTTCCTTAAATTTTTTTATTTTAGTAAAAAATATTACAAAAAATGATGTACCTTTTTCAAAATTAATTTTAAGCAATAATTTTAAGTAATAAAATTATAATTTTTATATCAAAAAATAGAGAATGAATCAAGCTTCAATGTTATCTAAAAATTTTAAAATTTGGTTAAGCCTAGGCCTAGAAAAAAATTTTTAAAGTTTTTCCACAGAAAATTCGCAGAAAAAATTTTAGGGTGGATTTTTTAATGAATTCTGTGTATTTTCCGCAGACCACAGAAATAATTGAAACAGAAATGCACAGAATCGACTAAAAAAGCCACAGATCTGTGGATTTTTTTCTGTGCACAGAAAAATAATTGAAATAGAATTCTGTGGTTTTTGCATGTTTTTGGATGTTTTGCAGAATCTGTGGATGTTTCCACAGAATCTGTGCATGTTTCCACAGAATCTGCGGACTCCTTTTTCCGCAGAATCCGTGGAATAATTGAAACAGAATTTCTGTGGTTCTGTGGTCTGTGCACAGAACGCAGACCGCAGAATCTGTGGACAATTGAAATAGGGCCCTGATCGATTTTCCACTTCAAATGCATCCTCATCTAATTGATCTTCGTAATTGCCATTGTAATTGTCAGTAGAAAATAAGCGAATGGAATGATTATTCAAAATGTTAGACCAAAGCATCTCCATTGGTTGTGAAAGTGCTTGTTCTTCGTTTAAATTCGAATCATTTTGAAAATGAATATCAGTAGAACATTCTCCTGTTTTCTCTTTCGTAAGGACCTCTTCAGTCAATGATGAGAAATCGACTTCTTGCTTTACTTGAATTTTTCCGTTATTATGAGCCTCTGATGGATGTTGAAAATCTGAAAAAAAATCAAGGAATTCATTTCAGTATAAATTTTGTTAAAAATGTACTTGTATTCAGTGAATCTTGAGGTTCATCATGATCATTGTTGGTAGTCTGTGAAGATTGATCCGGTAATGTTCCGTCATCAAATTCAGTAGGGACAATTAATGGCCCGTAAAATTTATGATCATGGGGAAAAGGCAAAACCTAAAGTTAGAAAATTTGTAATTTAAACTAAAATTCACAAGTGAAAAAGGCAGAAAATGTGTCAACCAAAAACTTAACCTACCTCTACAATTTTGTGACCACTTCGGCGATTATGTCGAACACGCATTTGTACTCTACACGCATAGCCTTTTCGCCTTCTATAGATACAAGCATATTGATCAACGATCTAAAGTTAATAGCAATTAATGTTTAAATAATTCAATCACACGTCTTCAATAGTAACTCGACCCTTTTGTACACTAAAAACAAAAATAAAAAATGTAAAATAGGTATACGTAAAATCCAGACTCACATGCCCCACTTTCTATTCTGAGCATTTAACCACTTTTTGAGCTGATCTTCTGTTTCAAAACGATCAATTTCTACGTACTGATTCCTACCTCCAGTCGAAATTACCGGATGATTCTGTTGTTCGTCTTTAAAAATGTTATTTATTACCGTAAATCTAAAAAATTAACTTGACGTATGGCCAAATATTTGGTCAAGAATTTGAGAAGACGAATTGTCCATTTACGGCAGACTTTATATCTCAAATAAAAGTAAATTATAAACAAATTCTGGAAAAGTTCTTAATCCTGTTTGCTATTTTTTAGCCCTAGAAATATGTAGTAACAAATCAAGCTAAATTAACACGTTATTACTTTTACAATATAGAAGGATGCATCACAATGACAAAGTTGTGACTAATAAATGAGAGCCCCAAATCGATCGGAATGTTGTTGGTTGGTAAAGACTGCTGCTAACGACATGACAGGGGAAACTATAACAAGAGAGGCAAGGCATGCACCCGTATTATAGCTGCAGTCAACAAGGCCATTTGGTGAGAGGAATTGAGAGATAGATAGCATGTTTAATATATTAATGTCATACCACCAATGAGAAAACAAAAAATGTTTGAACGTAACAGCTAAAAGTCTTAGATTAAAACATTAATTCATCTCTTGTTGAGCATCCTAAGATATTTTTGTGCATATGGTGATAGTAGTACATGGTTATTTGTTAGTTTGCGGATTACATATTTGCGGATAATCAACTGCAATAAATGTACACCTATTTTTACGGCGGTGACATAGACATTTACGCAAATGTCTAAAAACCGTAATAAGTACTAAATATATCAAGTTATATTAATTCACATTTTCTAATTATTATTAAGCGAAAGCATGACAAACACCTGCTTTTCACTTTTAAACCACCACATTCATTATAATTACTTTCAAACATGTAAACTTTATTAATAAAATAATTCATTTTATAGTATTTATGTAATAAAACAGTTAATAATGGTTCGAAAAATTGAAAAAAACAATTTCCTCTAAAAAATTTAATTTTTAATTCCGAAGTACACTTTTAACCGTTTCTAAGTCAATGAAATACATAAGCCCTGGTTTAAACGCTTGTCTTTTATTGAGTTCACACGTCAGTCTGTCCAGGACTTAGTCTAATTGCCAGATTATCGCCACTTACCACGCATTTGCTTTACTCATTTTTTCTAATAACAATTAAAATCAAATTACACAATTTTTTAAAGTTTCCATTGAAAGCAACAAAAATTTTAATAAATCGAGCGCAATTAAATTAACACAAATGCCTTAAGATTTTTGGTAACCAATTAAAATTTCATTGTCACAATTATAGCTATAATCTATAGTTAAAAGACTATATCTCGCCAAATTATTTAAAATATCAAACAAATAAACATTGGAGCTACCTAGACAAAAAAAACTCCCAAAATTAACCCATTTTCATAATCTAAATTGATGCCATATTCAAACATTGTTTTAAGCACAAAAAGCATTACGCCTCAACGTATTACATAAATGAATATTTATGTTTTATCGCTATATTAAATCCTCTCATTTTTCCTTCTTCCGTGTTCGGTCCCATTTTATGCTTATTTTCCTAAAAGGCAATTCGAAACTTTACCACAATCCTTCCATTCAAAATGTGCCACCATTATGCTTTATCGGAGAGCACGCTCTTAGAAAGTCGTTGGCTTTTGTTATAAGCTTTTCATCCAAGTTATGCTTCCAAAAGAGGAAAGCAGCGCCGTGAATAAACATCAAAAATGGGTATGAGAAATGTAGGAATATTTTGTGTTCTCAAAAATCATTGCTTATGTTGGCTTCCTAATGTGGTCATTTCCATGAATTGAATTGGCCAAATTTACTAAAAATAAACGCTCAAAAAACAAAAGGAGCATTTCTATATATAAAAAATGTTTTAAAAATTTATAAATCTCCCCAAATCCACATTCCCATTAGCTTAATGTTCTCATTGTTTTAGGTTTTTGCTGAAATGCTTATATTATTCAGCAAGATGTATAAAAAGAATAAAAAATAATTTTAATAATTCATTTAAGATTCTCTAAATTTAATTCATTTTTATTTTAATAATTCAATAAAAATCCCATCGAGGAAAAATATTTATTAAAGGCATATTGTTCTGAGTAAAAAGAGCAATTTAATATAGCAAAATTGCAAAAGTATTTAATATTAAATATCAATCCCGCTGATACTAATAAATGGTTCACACTACATTAAAAAAAGAAAAACGGCATTTAACCAGACAATGAGCTACAATCAATTTTTAATGCAATTCTTAGAATAGGCATAAGATAACAAATTTAGTTCCGTCATATAATCCCCTCGTTTTTCAAAATTTAAAAGCTTGGAAATACATAAATCTTATTCATTTTTTCAGAGATTTGTAAAAAATTTACTCTAAAGTTGTATTATCAACATCATCTGTCGAAAATGAACTCAAACATAGGCACACCTCGTCAATGGCACTTAATCCTAATTTCAATTTTTAGTGAGTTTAATACAACTAATATATATATAATTGAGAAACTTTTACCTAATAGTAATTGTAGAAAGCTTAGAACACCTTCAAAATCCACAAAATTTTAAACAAATTTTATTCTTTTAAAGCTGTTGCTCTTCTCGTATCAAGAACTTGCACCAAATCGCTACCCTTAAATGCTAAAAGTGAATTGGAGCATCCTTTATATATGATAGCGCGCCCATGGACAGACTATGCCCCGGCTTCTGCCTGGAACGGTCAATGGATTCGAAGGCCTCAAACCGCTTTAGAATCGAATCTTGGAGAAATAAGACACGACAATTCACTTCAGATACAGAAGAAATGGACACGACTAGAACCATCAATTCGTTTTTATTGAATCTCAAATCTTGCAAAACAGTAAAGTAAAAAATTTGAAAGATTATAGCCTCTTATTTGTTTGCTCGGTCCCAATAAAAAACATAAATATTTTAAATTGATATGGTTTTTTGATATTCTGATTAATTTCTGAGTTGATTTTTAAAATTTTTAGTCTAGTCGCATTCTTGATTCATGTGAGATAAAAAACTATTGTTTAAGAGTCACTTATTTAGTTATCATTTAACTTAATTCTCTTAACATTTTTGGAACGAAATCTCTATAATTTTGTCTAAAAAACTAATCTCCTTGGCAACAAAGAAAAATATTATTCAACGACCTTTTCTCCTCACATCCGTTAAATTGTTTTCAATTTTGTATACTCTTAAAAAAATCTTTTTTCTAAATTTTGTCCATACGTTGTAATTTTTGCCCATACAAATAAATGAAAACAAAATTTTCCCAATCAAAGTAGAGTTAAAAATAGCGATTACCACTTAACGTGTATTTAGATGTTGACGGATAGAAAGGTGTAAGTCGGAAAGGAAACATTTCAATCATTCATTTTCAAGTTAGATTTTTTGTAAAAGAATTTAATTCGCTTTTGATTAGTCTTAAAATTCCTTATAGCAAAATTTAAGCATTTTAAATTAAAATACAGGCTGAAAATAATAACAAAAATTGTACTTCTTGTGCTTTTTTAATTTTCTTGAAAAATAAAGTGAGGAGAAAAGTAACAAGTCATTTTCTCATTGAATTTCGCGCCCCTCACAATTTCATAATACACTGCTATTCTGGGTAAACTCACTTTCTCCTCATTAAAACGTCACAGTCGCACTATCCTCCTAGCCCTCACTATCGCCAAAAATATAGATTCACCGCAATTTTCTATCATTATCTTAAAGTTTCCTGTTTTTCATTACTTTTTACTTGTTTACGTCTTTTTTTCAATTTCTTTCAAATAAGCCCACAGGGAAGAAAAATTGAATAGTAAATTTGACAGCCGACACTTTCTTACCATCTGTTAAAAATTAAAAAATTCGATCCATTAGTGTTCCTTATTAAATTAGAAATTTCCAAGTCTAGAAAAATGACTTCCTATTAGATATGACAATCTCTTATACTTTGGATGTGTCACGCAGGACCGGATGGGGCAGCTTTATAAGAATCCTTGCAAGATGGAGAGGTTCTGTTTGGAAGGCAGTATGTATTGAACTAACACTTTGGTTGATCGTCTATCTATTAATTTCACTTATCTACCGTTATTTACTATCATCATTTGGACAAGAGAAGTTTGAACATTTAGCACACTATCTAGATGCAAAAATGGATACTACTTTACCTCTTACATTTATGCTTGGTTTTTTCGTAACGCAAGTAGTTTCTCGTTGGAGTAGTATACTTAATGGACTGGGATGGATTGATGAGTTAGTGAATTTATTAATTCTTAAATCTTAAATATTTAAAGTTCGGCGCTTGCATTTGCTAATTACATCCGTGGCGCTGATATAGAAACACGCATTCTTAGACGAAATATGATCAGATACATGGTTTTGAATCAGGCAATAGTGCTTCGAGACATTAGTATGCAAGTACGAAAAAGGTTCCCAACTTTGGAGACACTT